TTCATGGAGGTTAGGTCCATAAAAGGCTATTAGCCAGGGGATAAAATGGTGTCCTTGGCCTCTGTTTGTCAGAGGCTGGAGAGGGATGGCAGGAGACAAATCACTTGATCATTGTCTTTGGTCCACCCTCTCTGGGGCACCTGCTGCACTATCGGCAGACAGGATACTGGGCTAGAAGGACCTTTGGTCTGACCCAGTACGGCCGTTCTTATGTTCTTATCAGACAGGATGAGAGATTTTGGGCACTCAACTGAATTCCCTTTAAAAAGGGGCCTCTTTTTCAGAGGGAGGGCACTCAGCTCGCTCATCTCGAGCTGACCACCCCAAGATTGAGGCAATGAAAAGCACCCGCCATGTCTGAAAAAAAAAAAAAATCTTAGCCCATGGCTTTAACAGGGCTCAAGGACACAGTTAACACACAGCCATGCACTAGCTGCTGGGTGCTGTTGTGTGTAAGCAAATCGCTCCATGGGACAGCTTGTAGAGGAGCATGGGCAGCCAGTCAAAATGCCCTCAGCTGATGCTGTGCCACAACTAAAAACCTGCACCTGACCCACGTCGGCTGACTCAGACCCACCGGGCAAAGGGCTGTTTAACTGCAGTATAAGCGCTTGGGCTAGAGAAGTGAAGGGTTCACCCCACCCCCACTAGGAAGGTGCTCGTGTCCCACCTTCACAGCCACGACTGCGCTCCCTGGTCTTGCTCCATTTTGTGCTGTTTTGCTAACAGACGCATGGGCTAACGTCATGCTGCTCTGGGCCTGACCCCTGCTGGGGCGGGGGAAGAGGAGGAATCTGCTTTTTCATCTGGCTGGGCGGGCAGCCAGCCAAGCCTGAGCACACACACTGTAGGATTTTCCCATTAAAGTTAATGAAACATCGAGTTCGCTGGTATCTGCACCTGCCAGCCTTGAGGCCCCGCATTAATCTGCCACGGCTGTCTAAGCAGGTGCCTGAGCCGCTCTGACGGGGTGTGGGGAGAAGCAGGGGGCTCGAAGGAATTCAGTTCCCTGCTGTCTGAGAGACACTGAAGATTCTGAGGCATCACCTGGACAGATTATTAAAGAGCCCGAGGTCTGTGTTGGGAGCTGAAGGGAGAGGGGAATTTCCACTGCCCTGGGCTCTCCAACACCTGCACGGCCATGCCATGTGAAGACCAAGCAGATACACATGCGGGAGTATTCCGGAGCTGTGGAGCCTGCAAGACCTTCTCCTCCAGCCATGGAGAAACCAGCCAGTGGAAAGGATTTCTACAAGGGGTGAAGCTCAACCCAGTCACCAGAGTGGGAGACTGGGAGTTCAGGAGACGAAGAGAGTCTACTTCCACCTCTGCTACCGACATACTCAGTGGCATCTGCTTGGGCCTCAGTTTCCCTTAACTGACAAAACAGGAATAAAGCATTTCAATCTCTGGGAAGTGCATTGAGATCCAAGGACAAAGGTGCTGGCAGTGCCCAGCGATGACTCAGGTTATGTCTACACTATGACTTAGGGGTGTGATTCCCGTCCCATACTTGTGCTGCCTCTTATCAAACTAGAGAAGGCATAAACAGCAGCATAATCACTCTGCCAAGTGCACGCCTATTGGCGCAGCTAAGCCATGCCTCCACTGCCAACCTCCATGCTATCGCGGCTGAATTGGAGTGTCATGCGGAGGAAGACTAAGGGATGAGTGCTGTAAATCCAAACCCCTCTCTCGACCTCAGTGGGAAAACTCTGAGGATCTCTCCCTGTTACATCACCGCTGACGCCTACGGACATGCTTACAGGGGAAAGGAGACGGTGCCCCTCTGTTCCCCTCTCTCAATTCCCAGAGCACCTAGCACCGCCCACTCTTGGAAGACAGGATACTGGGCTAGATGGACCTTTGATCCGAGTCAGTATGGCCGTTCTTATGCGTGCCCAGCCAGCATGGGTATAAATAGCGTACTTGACTTGAATGAGCAGAGCAGCCTACATGCCTGAACCCCCTGGGTATATTCCCTGACGTGCTCTCTGCATGCCAAGCCATGCCTCCATGTTTACTCTGTTATTTTTAGCAGTGCAGTGTTCCACTGCCACAGCCTTTTCCAGCCGCAGTGAAAGGCTCTCTCAGTGGGAAAAGGTTCCGGCTGTTCCTCACCACCAGAAACCTTCCCCACTTTCACTGCTGCCTGTAGCTACACGTGTAGTGCCTGAGCGCCACACACCACCACAAGTGTAGATTTCAGCAGTGCCTACTGCCTAGCACCTCCCATTCACACCGGTGAATGCTGGCCTTAAAGCAAGGACACAAGGAAGCAGGTAGCTGGCCCTTTAATAGGCAGCACCCAGCGTAGGACCCTGGGGTTACTTGCAAAAGCCAGAGAGGATCCAAGCTGGAAAGGGGTAAGCAAAAGGTGAAATAGGATGAGACAAAGGGGAGAGGACAAGTAGTAGTGGAGAGAGAGTGAGGCAGGGAGTGGGAAAGGTGTCGGCGCTGCCAGGTCTACGTGGAACAGTCCAGCTTTCTTAACTGATGAGAACATCACCTCCAGCATGGGGCCCCATCTCTGCCACCCCTTCGCTCCTGTCACCACCTCCAGCTACTTCAACTGGCAGCAGCCACAGAGCCCTTTGAAACCCTCACTTCCTCCAGGACCCAAAGCAGCAGAGGCTGGAGGCTTAATATTCTCATATCAGCTAATATGGCTGGGCTGCCCAGGAAAAGCTTGTCTTGGTCATAGAGTCCTCTCCCCGCCAGACACTGGATCACTACAAAGAGGAAGAGAAAGAGGCCACAAAGAAAGCATCAAAACCAGCTCCGCTGGCACTTCCTCCTGCAGATGGCAAGCCTGGCAAGGAGAATTATTTTTGGCAACCACTGCTGAGTGCTTTGCCATGGAAACAAAACGCAGATGTCACTGAAACACCTTCAAGAGC